AAAGGAAACCCCATTTCCCCAATTCTGGCAGTTAGAAAAAAGCCCGAATTCCTCAGGCATTTGTCAAGCTGAGTCTCCTCTATCCAAAAGAGTCATTTCCCTTATCACTGGAAGAAGGGACAAATGGCTATCTGGGCTGCCTGTTAGTACCAAAGCACCTGCTGGCCTCCAGGATCCCATAGTATCACAAGTACCTGTTACACATTTCAGAGTCCATGCTAATGTCCCAGCTCTTCTCATCTCCTCCCCTACCCTAAACTCCCCAGCTCACAGGCTTCTCCCCCCCCCCTTCTTATAACCCTGCAGTTTCAGCTCTGTTCCTTCTTTTGCCTGCCATCTTTTTGTCTTCCTATCTCCCTCCTTCCCATCTTTGTGCTCTCCTGAGACTCTCTATTCTCTCTCTCTCTCTCTCTCTCTCTCTCTCTCTCTCTCTCTCCCTCTCTCCCTCTCTCTCTCTGCCTCTGCTTCTGTCATGGCCAGGTCCAGTCTGCTGGCCATGTTCAGTCTACTGTTTTCTTTCCCCTTGGCTGGGCGATGGTGACGCATGTTTTTAATCTCAGGACTCAGGAGGCAGAGGCAGGCAGATCTCTGTGAGTTCAAGGCCAGCCTGATCTACAGAACTAGTTCCGGGACAGCCAGGGCTACACAAAGAAACCCTGTCTCAAAAAACAAAAACAAACAAAAACTTTCCCCTTAACCATACCCTGGAGTGGTTATATAATCAATTTATACAGTTAATGTGTATATTAATATGAAGAAGTGAGGATGTAACCCAAAGTTTAAAGCAAAGGAGACAGATTGTAAAATGAAGACAGAGATGTCAAGCTTTTTCTTGTTTTAAGTTTCCCATTGGGTATCTGCAGGGCTAAGTGAAGAATCCGTGCTTTTTAGCAAATTACGAACAAACATGGGGTAAAGACTCTGAGACTTTGTGACAAATTCAATGTATTTGGGGGCTCACAGCTGTCACTGGTATTCTGGTTACTCGGGAGTGGGTACAGCTTTGGGTCCTAGATACTCATGTACATGTGTGTCTACGCAGAATGACTCAGAAATCTCTTCTATAGAAAACTAGAGCTGTTTCTCACAGCATTCTCAGCTTTAGGGTTGGTGGACTCAAAGGCAAGTCTCCTGGTAACATTCCAAGAGCTTTACATAACCATCAATAGGATGTTAGATCAGATACAGAGATTGATAATAACCCTCTATGTAAGGTCTGAGATAGCCCAAGGTCATTTTGGCTCTCCATCGGCTGCATTCACCTCCCCACACTCATGATGTTCTAATCAGCCAAAAATGTCTCTTCTACGGCTGTGGCTTCTTCAGAGAATGTGCAGATGTGGCCATCAGCAGGGGCTTTTCTCAAGTCTCTGAACCTGATTTTGTTCCATTTCTAGCTGGCTTGCCACTTCTCCGCTGATGGCCTTTCCCCGAGCTTGTCGTTGTCTTTGGGCCCAAGTTCCTCTAATCTTACGTAACTTCCAAATAAAGCCGGGGTTCAGCAGCCTGAGTAGGGGTGGGTCCTCCCATCCCCCGCTTTGTCCCAGGTGGGTCTGCGAGGCACTGGGAACAAGATTCCTTTTTCCAGAGGGAGATCCCCGTTCCTACTGCGTAAGAGGTTGTAAGGATGGTAGGCCTCATCAACTCAGCTCCTCTCTCCCAGAGCGAAACTTCTTCGCTACCCCTGGGAGCAGGGGAAGAGCTCCTGAATGCTTTCATGATTCAGACCGAGGGCCAGCTCTCAGCAGATCTTAAGTAAACGCCTTTTGCTTTGTTGTCTGGTCTTGGCCATAAGGAGTGAAAGGGTTGCCCAAGCATGTTGGGGGACCTGCTCCTGCCAGAGCTCTCAAGGTCAAGGCCTGGAGCATGCCTACATTTGTTTGCTCACATTCTCTAGTCCTAGAGTCTAGTTCAGAGTCCAGCAAGCAAAAACTGGCCTCCACGGCTGCGGGGCAGGAAGCACATTGGAAGGAGGAGCCATGTTGGCGGCCATCCATGTCACAGAAGCCAAGGCAAGGCTACCTTCTGCTCTCCCTTGGCAAGTTGGGAGGAGTTGGTTCTGCCAGCAGTGAGGACCCAGGGAGGTTCAGAGGTACAAAATTCAAATGAACCCACCCAAAATTCCCCAACTAGTTTCAATGCATGGACTCTGCCATACAAAAATGAACATGTCAGCTAAGCATTTCAGACAAACCTATAAATCTAGCGCTGGGAGATAGAGATCGGAGGATCGCTTGAGCCCAGCATTAAGTCTCAAACCTTGCAACAAATGGCTGAGGTGCCTATTTGACTTATCAAAGGGAACCTGGCCACCAGGTTCTCCCAGCATCCCTCAGTCCCTACCTGTTACAGAGTATGGCTGGCATACCCCACCCTCTACCCTGAACTCTCCAGCCCAGGGGGTGGGCTGCCCTTCCCCCAGAGGCTCTTCCCTATATAATCCAGACATCTTGGTTACCTGCTTCTTTTTGGACCTTTGGCCTCCTGCCTGCAGCACCTGGTTCTCCTCTCTCCCCTCTCCCTTCCCCTCCCCCTCTCCCACATGGCCCAGCTAAGTCGGGGTCATGTCCACTCTGCACTCTCCCAGATGTCCCTGCCTCTGACTATGCTCTCCCACACATCTACAATAAACCTCCTCCTCCTCCACCATACCTAGGAGCAGTCACGTCCTTATGCTTTTTTGATAGATTTTGTTGTTGTTGTTTTTCCTGGCATCAAGTGTGGTCCTTTTGTCTTCTGGCCTGTGTGTTTCTGCTGAGAAGTTGGTTGTTCTTTTATGGGTCTGTTGTATCTCAAGGCTTCTTTGGATTGGACTTTAAAACAATATTTACTTTTTGAGACCCAGTCTCATTGTTAGAAATAAGTTCGAAGTCACAAAGAAGAGGCCACCATTCCAACTAAGGTGTCTGGACAAGGCCAATTTTATTCTTGATCAAGAAGGCGTGCCCTAGCTGGGCGGTGGGGGCAGAGGCAGGTGGATCTCTGAGTTAGAGGTTAGCCTGGTCTACAGAGTGAGTTTCAGAACAGCAAGGACTATACAGAGAAAACCTGTCCAGAGGAGGAGGGGAAAAAAAAAAAGCAAACACATAGAGAGAAAGGAAGGAAGGACAAAGTCAGAGGAGTCGCTGCTCCAGGCCATCAATTCCTAAAACAGAGCTGTGGGCTTTTGAGTGAACAAGGGTGTTACCGGGGAAGATGAAAACTTTTCCAAGTTTAACTTGGTGTGTTCCGGGAGTTCACCAGAGATGGCCACTCGCACGGTATATAGCCAATTGAAAGTCTTTATTGCAGCAGGCTGGGACCATACCCAAGTGTTTGGGGCTTAGGGGGTCCGGACTGTCCAGAACATGGGGGATTTTAGGGCAGAGACTTCATTCAGTCATTTTGCTGGGCAGGTGGTGCTTAACAGAATCCAGGGTAGAGGACAGCCAGGGGAGGGGGGTTGCCACCCACGGGCACTTTTAACAAAGGTGAAGTTAGCTGGGACATCCTGACCTTTGGAGTGCAAATGGAAGAACCTCTGCACTGTCTGGCCTGGTCACAGGTAGAGAAGACAGAAATCCTAATTCCTTGTCCTAAACAACAGCTTAATAGCATTGATAGCAAAGATTTATATGTGATATTTCTTACATCACAGAGCCCAAGGTTAGCCTTGAACTCCCCATGTAGCTAAGAAAGGACCATGAACTGATATCCTGCCTCCATGTGCTAGGATTTAAGTGCTGGGCCGATGCGTTCTAGGTAAGTGCTCTACTAACTGAGCTATGCTCTCAGCCTTGCTTTTCAATATTAATAAGATTTTAATTACCTCTCTCTGGGGTGGGGGTGGGGTGAATAAAAAAAGATATAAAAAGCATAAGGACATGACCTCTCCTAGGTATGGTGGAGGAGGAGGAGGTTTATTGTAGATGTGTGGGAGAGCCTACTCAGAGGCAGGGATATCTGGGAGAGTGCAGAGTGGACATGACCCCGACTTAGCTGGGCCATGTGGGAGAGGGGGAAGGGAAGGGAGAGGGGAGAGAGGAGAACCAGGTGCTGCAGGCAGGAGGCCAAAGGTCCAAAAAGAAGCAGGTAACCAAGATGTCTGGATGATATAGGGAAGAGCCTCTGGGGGAAGGGAAGCCCACCCCCTGGGCTGGAGAGTTCAGGGTAGAGGGTGGGGTATGCCAGCCATACTCTGTAACAGGTAGGGACTGAGGGATGCTGGGAGAACCTGGTGGCCAGCTCCCCTTAGGTAAGTCAAATAGGCACCTCAGCCATTTGTCTCAGGTTTGAAACTTGCATGCCATAGTTAGCATGTGGGGGTCAGAGAACATCTTTCAACTTTTGGAAGTTGGTTCTCTCTTCCACCAGGTGGGGCCTAGAGTTTGAACACAGGGAGTCGGGCTTGAGAGTAAGCACCTTTACTACCTGAACCATCTTGTCAGCCCCTTCAGTGTCTTGACCCTGGTGAGTCAGCGTCTAAAGGCCACCCTAGCAAGGGGACATTTCTTTCTTTTCTTCTTTCTTTCTTTCTTTTTTTTTCTGAGCTGAGGATCGAACCCAGGGCCTTAGCGCTCTACCACTGAGCTAAATCCTCAACCCCTTTTTTTCGTTTTTCGAGACAGGGTTTTTCTGTGTAACAGCTCTAACTGTCCTGGAACTCACTTAGTAGACCAGGCTAGCCTTGAACTCAGAGATTCACCTGCCTCTGCCTCTGGTGAGATTAAAGGTGTGTGCCACCACCGCCTGGTGAGCATTTCTTTTTCATGGACTCTCTTTCGACCCTGAGTCTCTGCTCGGAAGAGAACTGTTCCTAGAAGGGCCCATGGGATGACATTTGACATACCTGAGATAATTTGCCTTTTTCCCTCTGATGTGCCAATAACATAAGCTAACCATCGTGAGACTCAAGGCCATCCTATGCGCATGTATGAAAACAGTGGTAGGGTCTAGAGCAGGAACTTGACCAGGGCCTTCCTGACATTCTACCCATCCCAGTTCACCTCCTATGTTCAGAATGTCTATCTGGGCGTTTAATTTTACTGGGCCTGCCATTCATATGGGCTGAAATCTCTGTTCTGTCGGAAACATCCTGTGTTTCCTGGGATTAAGGTTGTTTCCTTGTAGAATTATTTAAATTGTCAGTGCTTGGGACTAGAGAGATGGCTCAGTGGTATCCAGTCTCCCGCAGCATAGCTCCAGGTGGTTCTTCCCCGTCCTCTACTTCATCGCCACAAACGCAGGACTCTTGCCAGAGTTTCCTGGGCTGTGGAAAGGACATGGAAATCCATGGAGAACCTGTAAATGAATAAGTGAAAGCTGCACTCACTAAGCAAGCAAAAAGGAAACGATATGAAGCAAATAACAGTAATGAAGAAACGGTTATGGAATCAAAGGGACCGCACAGAATTGTGCTTTGACAAGACAGACTGGATGGAAGAAAGTCCTTTCTAAAAGTCCAGTGTAAAACGCAAATCCATTGTCATTGTGGGTGAGACCACTGCTGCTTGGTTCAGTTCCTGGCCCTCAGCCCTTTCCACGCACCCATTGAGTTCCTCAGTCTATTAAGACTGTGCCTGCCCTGGTCACTGCTGTCCAGTTCCATCTAACATGAGGCCAGACACAAACCCTTTCAGGGTAGCTCCAACGCCCCTCCTCCCCGACCTCCTTGGATGCTGCACTACCACCGGACTCAGATATCACACCCATGTGCCCGGATCCATAATCTTCCATGGAGACCAAGGTGCTATAGTCAGTGGCCAGTGGCAGGTGGATGGTAGAGATGCCCAAATTATCCCCTGTGACACACCTAAGCTGGAGTGGGACAGAGAAACTTCTATCTTCCAGGAAGAGCTTAATAAAGAAATCCAAAGGCCCGTGGCAGTGTCTGGGCCTCTCTGGTGGTCCAAGCTTCACAGCCAGAAATCAGAAATCAGTTGAAACCTGCTGCAGACAGGAAGACTGGGCCGTGGCAGTCTTGGAATGCAGAGGTGGGGGTCAGATGCTGACCTCACAATGACAGAGTCTCCTTTTCCTGGCCAGCCCACTGACTACTGGGCAGCTGCTGTGCCCACTCCTGGGCATGTCCCTTCTCAGCAGCTATGAGGGCCTGCGACAGGAGATCCAGCGGCTGGCACAGGAGAACGAAGAGCTACGGCGGCTGGTGCAGCTCATCCAGGAGAACCAAGAGCTGAAGCTGGTCCTTAGGAGCAGGGGTAGCAGCCTGGGCTTCTGTAGCTCCGGCTTCCTGGCAGAAGTGACTGCCAATCCCCGGTTGCCCAGGCGTAAGACAATCAAATTCAAGGATGCTGAGAGAGGTGAGCCAAAGGCATCTTTTGGAATTTTCTCATCCAGTGTGTGCCCAAATGGGGAGAAGTCATGCAAAAGCCTGGCCCCATGGAGTGTGGCCGGAAGTTCCCTGTTGGCTGCCGGTGGTAGGTAGAGTGAGATGGAGCCAGTCCAGGGAAGAGGGTGGAATGGATTCACCCTGCAGGTGAGAGGAGATGACACCTCTCAGAAAGTGACATCGAGTAGAGCTGGAATGATGTACCAGTCACGAGGTTGGGGGACTCTTGTATAATATTAGAGGAACCAGCCTCAATATTATACATCCCAGGGGCTCAGGAGAGAGAACTACTAACGGCGAGGACTATTTTCAGGAAATAGAATCTCAGCACACCAAGCTCTATAGTCCACTTGCTTTAATTCCTCTGGCATAACATCCTTTATACACAGCTTCAGTTCTGTTCTCATGTCTAGCTCCTTCCTTGCCTGATTTCTCTCTATATTTATCTACGGTCCCCTCTAGGTTCTATCTTAATTCCTTCTAGGTTGTCATCTATCTAGTTCTTTCCCCTATCAGCTCCTCTCCCATCTCCTTCTCTCTCATCTGGCTTTTCCTCATCTTGTTTTTCTCTATCTGGTTCTTCCTCATCTTCCATCTCGTTCCTCTAGTCCTCTCTTTTAACCCTTCAATCTAGTTCTTCCCCATCTCAGTTCATTCCTCTCAAGTTCTTACTCATCTAGTTCTTCCATTCCCTTTTCTCTTCTCCCCTTTATGCCCTGGAAGTCCCGGTATATAAAGGGAGGGTCTGAGCTAAATTGTGTAAAGCTATTGCTTAATGTCTACCTCTCCTAGGCGGTGTCTCCTTGTGGAATTTAAGTCAGGAGACTTGCAGGTGGGCTGTTATCATTGTTAGTCCTCGGAAGTTGGGCGCCCACTTGGGTGGTGTTTCCTGTAGTCCTTGAAAGTGGCTCAGGGAGATAATCTGATTCCAGAGGAAGCCTTTCCTGAGGCTGTTCTCCAAATACCTGGAATGTGTATGTCCAGAGAGT